AAGAAAACAGCTTAGATGCAGTGCGCTTTCTTCTCGAGAGCGGCTGTGAGTTTCCTAACCCACCAGACCCTTGGAGAAAGCGTTGCGAGTTCTGGCTTAGTGACGAGGATGAAGATTCGGAACATGTCGTGAACAGCAATATCACCGAGTTCACCCGACAAGTGACGTTTTTTTACACCACCGCATCGCACCGCCCACTCGCAAAGATCCTTTTCATTGGTCAGAATGGAACGGAAGTGGCAAACTTTGTGAACGAGACCGTACCCATGCTTCCGGTGAGGTCACTGACTATTTTAAATTCAGAAGGTCCATGTCTGTTCGACTTCTCGCAGATCCAGTCTTGCTTCGAGTCTCTAACGATAACAAATTGCGATTTCGGCTCTGCGGAGCTACCAGGGACCCTATACTCAGTAGTGAGTGTGAAAAGCTTGTGTGTTGTCAAATGTGGCGTATCGCGTCTGTCTGAACAACTAGGAGAGCTCAAAAGTCTGCAACGTTTGCGGTTAAGTGGCAACAAGATTAGGAAACTCCCTGACACGATTTCCAGGCTGCAGAAGTTAAAGTTTGTACATTGTGATCGGAATGCACTCGACAACTTGCCAGACACACTTGGATGCTTAGGCTCGCTGGAAAGTCTGGACTTGACCAGTAACAAACTGGAGAAATTGTCTGCGTCGATTGGCCTACTGACCAGGCTGCGAAATCTCGGAATTACAAGAAATCGTCTAAAATTCCCACCGGTTCACATTCTAAACAAAGGAACTGAAAGCATTTTGGAGTTCCTGAGTGGATTCTTGGACGATCCTGTGTCTAACAACCAAATTAAGATGATTGTTGTCGGAGGAAATGGCGTTGGTAAGACTTCACTTGTGAAGGGTCTGAGTCATACCAAAGATTGGCGAATAAGCGGGGTCGGTCCGACCACTACGACTGACGGAATCGAAATATCTTCCATGAATCTTATGGATTGCAGATTAAAAGTGTTTGATTTGGGAGGAGACGAAGCCATGCTCAGCTCGCATCACTTTTTCTTGTCAGAGAACACTCTTTATCAGGTCGTTTTTGACATGAGTGCTTACACGGTCACCAAGACCTCGTGTTCAGTTTACCAGCTCGGAAGAGTGGAACTTTGGCTTCAAATCATCTTCTCGAGAGCTCCAAACTCTCACGTGATGATTGTTGGTACCCACGCCGATGACCCGAAACTCACCGAAGATATCCGAGTACGCATTCGTCAAGACATCGAGAATCTGTTGAGCAAGTATCGTCGCGAGCACAGACGCCAATTTGAGGGAGAAGCTGTGCCTCATTGCGGTCTTTGCGAGGCGACCCTTGTCTGTGAGGGCTCTTCTACTGGCTCCTTATTCTATGTCCAGGAACAAACCGTCCCTCGTGTTCCTGGACCTGTTCCAGCTCCGTGTATCCCACATGTTGTGGGTTATTATGAAGTCAGCTGCCATGGCCAGTTTCCCAAAAAGCTCCTCAGCTCTAAAAATCGGAGCATGCAGAAGTTCACAGTAGGCGTGGGTGCTAGCGCGTCTATACTCCTCAACACAAAGGTCAGTTCCCGAATCCCGCAGAAGTGCTTGTACGTGCGGGACAGAATACAGGAAATGTGCAACGCAGAGGATGAATTGAAGAACTGGCCGCTTCTAACCTACGACAGACTTCGAGAGATCGCGAATGGCTGTGGAGTAAAACAAGACTTCAAACTCAAGGCACTGATGACGTACTTTCATTCTCAAGGAGAAATCCTCTGGTACGAAGATATGCCGGATATTGGCGATGTGATCTTCATCGATCCTCTCTGGCTGTCCAAACAGATGTGTCTCCTCGTCGGGTCACCTTCGGGCGCGAGTTCGGGTTTGGACGGAATATTACGAATCGACAACCTGGCGAAAACCTGGCCTGATGTCCCTGAAGGACAACGCTTTGCGATGTTGACTTTGTTCAGAAATTTAGGATTGTGCTTTCCATTGTCGGAAACTGAGGAACTGGTTCCCTTCCAGTTACCGATCGGGAAAGCAGACGAGGACACGTGGCCGATGAGGCCTTCGGATGGCCAACGCCAGATCAGCTGTGAGTTCCATTTCAGCTTCCTTCCTCCGACCTTTTTCAGCGATTTGACGATTGCCATTAACCGAAGGAAACTGCCGAACAACTTTGAGGTAGAACCCACGTTCTTTCGCTTCCATATGGTGTTCGCAACGACATTGTTGGCCAGCATGGGTTGCTCCCTCCACTGTAAAGAGATGCACCCTTTAGCAGAAAATCTGGAGGTACATCGGGTTAGTGTGGAGGGTGTACCATTCGAGCACAAGTTGAAAGTGATTATACGCGGTCCATCTCCCTGCTGTGTGCTTCCAGATGTGAGAGCTGCGATCAAAACAGTGGTTGATACGCGGTATCCTGGGATACGCTATGTCAGGCAGATCGTTTGCACCGCGTGTGAACTCGCTGGTTTCAAGAATCCTGCGCTGTTGAGCGAACTTGTCAAAGATGGTTGTAACTATTGTTCGTGGGGGCACGATCTCAGTACAGAGGCTGCTGTAATTCGTGGAGACATTCCTCTAGTCTCACTTCCTTCTGAACTACCAGCGAAGGGCGAGGTCAGGCTCGGGGTATTTTTCGACGAGGCAGGCAGGATTCTGGACGACTGCTACTGTCCAAGACTCCCGGCGGTGTTCCCGATAGGCTTTCAAAGCCCGGCCTTCAAGAAGCGGCTTCGGGTCAACTCACCCATAAAAGATGGCTATTCTGTGCATTTCCTGTGCGAATGTCCCGGATACTGGCATTTTACGGAGGGGCCAGGCTTCCGAATCCCAGACATCCGAGCGTTCCTGGACGTTTTTGGAGCACGTGCGTGCAAGCTTTTGAAACTCGCTTTTATGCTACGAGATGACGACGCCCCCGACGGATCTGACCAGGGACATGTTCCGGTCAAGATTATCTTGGGCGAGGCAAAACTACGTCACGTTCTCGTCACGGACATCCAGGACTTGTTAGAGCACTACTTTGTGGAATTTCCCGAACTGAAGAACAGCTACATGGGTTTCATGCAGGAAGACTTAGAATTTGTGCAGAGTTATGAAGGGCTAAGCCGCAGAAAGATGTGCAAACTGTTGGAGATCTCGCCTGATTGGTGGAGACTAGGACCATTGGTCTGTACATACAACAACAGGACCAATGAACATCTCTGGTTGTGTGAGAAGCATGCAGTGTAAAGAAGTGAGCCAAAGGATTTCATAGGAAACATTCAAACTGTTCTTTTTTGGGGGGAATTTGACTGACCTGTTTAAGGTAAATTATCGATCCGGTAAAGTTGGATCTGATTGACATCGACGAGAAAAGTTTTAATTAGTTTAGGTTAGTTTTAATCAGAGTATAGTCATGATATTCTCTTAGATAACCTTTGGATGAAGAGTTCTCTTACCTTTACAAAATTAATAGTGGCACATATGTGAGATAAAAATTGAATGGGGGGGGGGGTGGGTGGGGCGCACACTGCGGAGAGTGAAAAAGAAGTGCGATAATGATCACGTACTCATCAATAACAATCCCTCTGTTTTTTGTTCGCGTTTCAAATTTTAAATTTATGAGAAGAAAGTGAAAGGGATACTCGATACTTCGTAACGATCGGATATTACACGCACTCTTTTTCTCTCTCTCGGCGTGGTACCTGAAATGCATAAATTAGAATAATTATTCAGACTTTGCCATTAAAAAACGCCAAGATTTGGGACATACAACGCTCATTTACAATTTAAGTTGCTTAGCAACACCAGTGTGCTACCTTACCGTGCTCCAAAAGGGAGACTTGTGAGAATGATCCGTTTTCGAACTCTTTCTGTCGTCAAATTTATAAGAATGCCAACCTTTATACCGCAATTATTTGGCGTCTTGTGATGGTTGCCGATGAATTCGCATAGAAGAGCTGGTGTAAGTGTAGTTTTAAAAAATATTCATTGAAAATCGCACGAAAATTTCAGACTCAAGATGCCAGAGTCACTATTTTTGTAAAAAGGTTACAGTTTTGTGGAAAATTAAATTTATTTTCATATAGGTGTTATCCTGTTTATCACCGCATAACATAGGATTTTTAGAAGGAATTTGCATCCAAAAAAATATGTTCTTGTTTAATTTTTTAAAATTTTTTTTGTGTCTGTATCTTCTTATAAACCACGTGACAGAAGACTCGTGGCATCCATTTATATTTCCACAATTAATAGGGAACATGTTTTCATCAATGCATTATCCCTAACAAACTTAAAAAAAAATGAAACATTTTATTTCCCTGGGGGGACTTTCGACAGACCCTCTCTTGAAACTTTTGCCATCATCTCCGGCAACTGGTTTTTATTGTTCCCTTTTCTCATTGAGATTTAACATAACTTTCCTTCTTTCCTTCCCTTATCTCCCTCTCCCTCCCCCGTCCCCGCTCTCCCTGAGAACGATTTTTATAGCCTCAAGTTTATTTTTTCCTCAAATTGATTTAACTTTTTACATCCTTACATTAGTATAACTATTCTCCACACTTCTCTGCACAATTTCCTGTGGTATTAATTATAGGAAAATTTATCAAACAATTAAGAGCTTACATCTTTTCTTAGTGATCGTTTCCTTTATTCTCGTAACCTTAATGTTTGATTCAGAGGTGATCCTGTAACGAGAAATTTTATGGAAGTCACTTATATGAATAAATCTATCGCATGCCGCTGGTGTTACTGAACCTTGGTGAGGATGAATCTTTTAGTTTATTTGATAATCAGGAGAATAAAGTTTTTGATTTTTTTGGCGTGTTTTTTTACAGGACGGAGTATCTCTCCACTTCTCCTTTATTTGGAGAAAAAAAAATGCCCACATTTGCCGTCTCTTAATAATCAAAAGATGTTTGAGCGTCCTTCTTTTCATCTCATGTCTCCGAGGTGCGTCATTAATAGCAGTCATTTGTTGGAAGCTGGTGATATTTACACTTTGATCAAAAGGCCACCTAACTAACACTCAAACTTCACAGTTTAATTTCTCTCAGCTTTCAATGAATGGTCATAAATCTGTTTATGTACACCCAAGGGTAATGATAACTCCCCTGCGGCACGATCAGGCCTCATTAGCAAAGCTTTACACCTAAGTATACCGTTACCCGGGAATCCTGGAAACTTACTGCTTTCCATAGTGAACAGAAGACAAAATGAGAATGCTAAGTCAAAGCTCCATTGAACTTATATCACGAGTCGATGTCAACGAGGTCGAGGTCATTCGCCTTTTGGGATCAGGTGGGTTTGGTTCTGTCTTCGAAGCTATGCACAAGAACTGCAAGGTTGCCATGAAGAGGTTTCACACCAACACTCGCAACAAAAAAGCGGCGATGCAAAGCTTCGAGGCTGAAGTGCACCACGAAGTCTTGTCTCTGAAACATCCAAACATTGTGCGAGTATTGGGAACCAACGCAGCGCGCAGCCTTGAAGAACAACCGTTTATAATCATGGAGTTTGTCAGTTCAAGAAACTTGCAACATGTGCTGGACGACGCGGATGAAAAAGTCGATTTTAAACGGCGCGTCACATTTGCATACGAGGTGGCGCTTGCCTTGGAATATGTGCATGACAATAACATCGCACATCTCGACCTAAAACCCGCCAACGTTCTTATAGCTCCGGATGGTAGCTGTAAACTCGCCGATTTTGGATGCTGTCAGATCATCCAAGAACGGCCCAATACACCGTCACGATCGTATCTCACCGGAACATATGCCTACCGGGCTCCCGAACTCCTGAAGGGGGAAAGTCCCACCTTCAAAGCTGACGTTTTTTCCCTAGGAATCTGCTTGTGGCAGTTTTGGACCCGTGAAATTCCGTACAAGCTACAAAATCATCAGATTGTGATCTTCCGAGTTGTTGCCTGTAATCTGCGTCCGGAGATCCCCGAGGGAAATGACGTAGACAACCGGTACCGGGAGCTGATGACGTCATCATGGCATGGCAATCCCGAGGAAAGGCCTTCTATGACCGCGGTCGTAAACTTGCTTAAGTGTTTGATTCCTTGAAACTTGAATGACTCTGATATCAAAGATTAAATTGAAAGTATATATATATTTTAATTTTATTGAAGAGTGCTGGTCACACGCACGTAAAGTTTGTTTCATATAATGTAGATTAAATACAAATGATCGGATATATAACTGTAGTATATAAAGAAGTTTATATTAAAATGCAAAGCGGAGAGTTATTTATTTAAGAGATATTTTACTATATTGAGATATATAATTACTTGTTAGTAGGAAAAGAGAGATTTATTATGTGTATTATTCGTTAATGTAATTTTGAATCATTATCACGCCATTTATCGTTATCGTTTATACCATGCATCGTTTCATTTTATACGGACCTTTGATGCATTTAATTACACACAATTCGCAACTTCTCGCCTTTTTTTAACAACAACAAGACAAAAATCTTGAAAAATGGGCTGAGGGCCAGAATAAAAGGCTTTACCTTAATCTCTGCGACAATTTCTCGTTTTTCTTTTCATAGTTCTTTTTATTTTTTTTTATCGAAGGTAATAACGGATTGGTAAGCTTAAAGATTCTATACGCGATTACGTGGAGATTGTGACCACCTTGTTGGATGAATTGTTTTTCCGGTTTCTCTCAATCGGGCCAACTCATTTTCGCTCTCGACGAAACATTTTCGGGTTTAAAGTATCCAAAGGTCGACAAATGTGAAGCCTGTGGAAAAGAATCTTTGTGCGTACCAATGTTATGCCCAGAAGCCCAGTCTTACCTTCGACTGGAAGAGACAAAGAGATCTTTTTTAGCTCTTCAGCTTCAGCGGAAGAAGTGAGACATTCCACTTAACTAGTTCACGCAAGAGGACATGGCGTAAAAATCCCCTTCAGAAGTTTACCGCAGTCACAAACAAAATATTGCGCCTGCATGCAGCCTCGGCTAAACTGGGAGCGAATAAAATTTATAACTTGATTGGATGGTTAGTGTATGACGTAATTATCTTGGAAGTGAGACAAAGGAACTTATCGATGTCGTCGTGCTCTCGCGCGTGATATACTTCTCTTAGAAGTACTTGATCAGTGTTTCTTTTCGTTCAGCCATTTGGCCCAAAGACTTAGTTTCCCTTCCTTTCCTTTGGTCGTCATACTGGCTTGCTAACCCAGGAATCTATCCCTGGACTGATTTTATCGGAAACAGTCCTCATTGCTTGGCAGGTTAGCCAATTTTAGTGGAATTCCCCTTTGTTTGCAATCGTGGATTGAATAACCTTCGATTAGCCACGAGAAGTGATTGTGCCGTAAAGACGTAGTATTTTTCCGTCTAGTCTTGTCTTTAACAGCTTTGGTTTGTGTTATGTTTTTTTTTTTTACCTTAGTGGGACTGCAGATCCTGACCGGCTAACGGACCAGATTTAAAGAATATGGACAAGATTAATGGGGATCCTGTTGCTGGCGAGAGCCACCCTCAAGAAATCTTACAAGGGTCGGTGTACAGCGACGGTGGTTACATCCCGCCGGAAGATTTGAATAACCATTTCGAAGAAGATGACGGACTGGACTTAGAGGGATATCAACCGACGTATGCTGAAGCTTTCCCTCCCCTTCCAAGCGCTCATGTGGAGAATTCAACGCAAAGCGACGCCGGATCAAAATGGCGAACTGGAACGGGTCCGATTCGCTCTACCACTGTGACTCAGGTATATATAACTGAAATCGCATAGAGACAAAAAGGAAATTAACGTCCTAAAGAGGAATTCTAAATAAGTGAAGGTTAATTTGTTCTTTTTGAACTTGTCTAATATTTATTAGTTTGGTATGAATATAGCTGATTTGAGTTCTTTACTTAGATTGCTACGTTCAGCGTGAAAATTGATACAACCTCACGACTGGAATTGCCTTTCTCTGTTTCGCCCACGGGATCGCTTTTATTTCATAATATGGAAAAGAACGTCCGTGAAATAGATAGTATCAGTTATTGTAAACTTATTTTTGTCTGTAGTTGTTACGCCTAGAATATTTCCTCTCGATAGACAATGAGCGATGCTTAGTTCTTCAAGCCACGTTTACAGGTCTTCCGGTCAGCCCACGGCTTACGGTGTTGGCTGTTGTTGAAGTATGAAGAAATAGTTTCATTAAATTATTCCCTGACATAGTAACTGCCAAAGAACATTGTCGTTATATTGACACGTTTTTCCTTTGTGTACTTTTTTAACAGTTGAGCGTTTTTCTGCTTCAATCTCGACAGAATTTTGCTAGTTAGTTTTGAACCATACAAAGCATCAATAATTTAAGTGATATTTTCATAATTCTTGCCTCAATGGTTGGTAAAATGTTGACATTATTTCACGACACATTAAAATCAATGGAATTATGTAGTTGATCGCCAAGTTTTTTAATCGTCGAGTTCTGAGTAGAAAATAGTCGAAAACCATTTCTCAGGAATAATGAAAAATACCTCTATATTGCTGATCCACACTTTCTGAATTCACGCAGTTTCACAGTTAATTTTTAGCGTTCCGTTTTTATCGTGCCTTCTTTGATAACTAAGTAAAAAGGTATTTGTGAGGTCTTAGCGACATGTACAAAACAGTCTTAAAGTTCTGATCACATGTTTCTTCGAGTTTCGCCGGCACTGTTGTCACGAAATAGGCAATTTGCATAGCGAACAATAACTATCTGAATAGAGTTAATTTTTCCCTACGTGTCCCGCCAACAGCCCACTTCATATTAAAACTAATTTTCCTATCATGAAAATAAGCGATTTGTTGTAAGCCCCCACATAAAATGATCAAGCATCCTTTGTGTCAAGCAAGATATGTCAAGAGTTATTTTGCTGTAATTTCCAGTAACATTAGCTAGTATGTGGTACTGTAATTAGATCCAAATACATTTAGGACTAAGAGTTGAAATTTAATGAATATATTTCTTCCTTTTCTTTCTTCACTAAAAAATTTTCCATTAATTCATGATTTAAAAAACTTAATTGATCATGCCCTCCAGAAGAGAGAAAAACAGAAATGTGATATGATCTTGTTTCTAATTACTGGAGGTGTTTTTTCACTTCTCCAGTCTCTAGTGGTAGGGGAATAATCCTACTTGTTACAGCTGTCCAGAGAGACACCAACTTCAGGACAGGAGTGGCTAGCTATCAGTGAATTAATCAGTATCTTAATATGCAACTTTTGAAATAAAAGAGGTGGAAAGGTAGTATTATGAAGATTAACACAAGAAAGACTTTCTGTAAACAAAACTTGATCAGGTGATTAAATAAATAATAGCATAAAATTTTTTTCTCCTGCTTCAGTTTCCATGGAAGCAATTTGTTAACATTTCTTTTGATCTTGTAGGGTTAGTGTAAAATGTGCCAAGCCAAGCTTCATTTTTAATGTTTTTATTAACCTCTTTTGATCCACGTCTAAATGCGTCACGTTCTCTTTTAGTTCCTTTAAAATGCTTTTTGAAAGATAAATTTTAATTGGACATAAGATGAAAGATTTCCAGGGAGAGAGAAATTGTCTCAAGAATGTCTTTTGTGTCAATTGTTAGTTTGATAAAAGAATATTCCTTTTTGGTTAGAAGTCATTTTCTTTTTTCATATCACAGGAAAGGGTCAGATCTCTTTCTACACTTTTGTTGAGCTTGTGGTAATAAATTAATATGATATCCAAATCTAACTAGAAGTTAGATAAAATCATTTTTTACTGTAAAGCATGTCTTTGAAATTAAAGCACTGGGGCTTTGTCCTCAAAGGGTGTAGAATGTGTTTAGAGTTAGCAAAGACAAAGAGTTACAGATTCTCTCTTACAGAGAAGTGTATCAACATGTCTTTTTTTTTTGTCTTTGATTGTTTTGCTGTTTAGATTTGAGTATGATATCTTCAGGGATTTAAAGTTTCTATGTAGGTTTTTAATTAGAATCAGTAGATGGTGGATCTTGCACCCAGTAATGGGGATGGGTTTTTGCTGGCTCCCTTTGCCATTAGATGAAGATACAGCCTCTGATGTAGATTTGGAACACAGATTATCTTTAAAAATCTGCTTAGGTTGAAATGAAAGCCTCTCTCACTTATAGTTGACAAAAAATAATTGCACAGATCATGTGGAGAATGAAGATTTTGGCTGTTGTGAGTAAAAGGATGAAAGAAACAGTTGTTTTAATATGCCAGCAATTCTTTAGAATACAGAGGTTTTGTAAAGAACAGAGGAATTGCTGTTATTTGTGGTGATTGTACTTTACAATCCTGGGTAATGTTTTTTGTTTTCTTTTTTACTTCTCAATGTAGGTCTTCCGAGTTCCTCTGGAGGAAAGGCGTTACAAACAGCCCAATGAAAATGCTTTTGGAGATGACCGTCAACGAGAGATCTGCCGCGACATTATGGCAAAGACCGGAGCTTCAATTGAGATCAGTTCAGGAAAAGATCAAGGCTTGACAATCATGGTGACTGGAAAACCGGAATTACTGGCAAAAGCTAGGCGTATGGTGCTAACCCAACTTCAGACTCAGGTAAAAGCAGTTTGTACCTGAAAAATTTATATATTTGTAATGAGAATTCTAGCATACCTGCTGGTGCTCAAAGGAGTTTGACAGATATTTGGGTTTTATATTTCATTCAACCTTTCACTTCTAAGAGTGACTGGCATCTAATTTCACCCTTGAATCAAATGTAAAGGTCACAAGAATACAAGAAATAATCAACAATTTTGAGGAGCTCCTGATTGTCAAACAACCTCTCCTTGTCAGTACCATAACAAATGTAAAGAGAACAGTGTAGAGAATATAACAACCAATATTAGGGTGTAAAGAGTTAACCCTGCAAGCTGCACAAGTGACCTAGACAGAATTTCTCCTTACACTGTCAGTACTATTTCAAGCAAACAAGTAATGAGAATAAAGAAAAAAAATTTAACATTAGTCACTGTCAAATGGTAGTGGTGTTATATGTACATAATGGAAGTTAACCTTTAAATTTTAGGCCTTTTAGTTGGTGATCATTTCCTTAATTCTCATGACTTCAACATGTGATTCATGGATTTAATGTAAGAAGGAATTAGACTTTGGTCAGTGTTAGAGGTTGAAGGGCAGTAGGGTTTTATGAACATAATTGACATAATCTTGAATTTTTAGGCTAATGTTGAACTCAACGTTCCCCGTGAACATCACAAATTCATTCTTGGCAAAGGAGGCAAAACACTTCAGACACTTGAATTGCAAACTGCAACAAAAATCACCATGCCTAGGGATGGATCTGATACCATAAGAATTGTGGGAACTAAAGAAGGTGTGGACAGTGCTCGGCATGAGATACAGATCATATCTGATGAACAGGTAAGTTGCAAGGAGATAATTAGTGTTGGGTGGAGTGAGTTAAAGAAACGTAGGTTTGGCAGTTATTTGGGTGGCCTAACACAGCTCTGCAAGGTATAGCTGCAGTCAGAGACAGAATTGTCGACACATTGGCATTTTCAAGCCCCCCTATGATTTAATTTTCACCCCTTTTGGCCTTGGCACTTCTCCTTCTTAACTGTAGTGTTCTAAAATTTCTCTGATGTTCAGTTGCAAGTAAGCAAGCAACATTTAATGTTGGAGTAGCATTCCCTTTTGCAGATTATTGTGCAATGCTAAAAGAAGTGTTATCTGATGTCTTAATCCCTTAACTCCCAGAGGTGATTTACTTGTATCTTCTCCCTTTCATATCCATACAGACAGACTTGTCATGTGAACACTTAAACTTGTCAAGTAGAGGTTTTTCTCTTGATCTAACACCAAATTTTTGTGACTTATTTAAAAGAAAATGTGCAGCAGCAAGAGGGGAGAATTAACTTTCAGATCTTGGGATTTAAAGGATCAAGATTACTGCTTAGGCACAATTTGTCAACTAATTTTGTCTCAATTTTTAGTTTCTGAGTATAAGATCCTTTTTGGCTTGCTTCTTAAGTGAAATTGTGGGTTGTGGCCTGTTTCTAAAGTGAAATTGTGGGATGATTTTGTGACCTGTTTCTAAAGTGGAATTGTGAGATGATGTGGTTTGTTTCTAAAGTGAAATTGTGAGATGATGTTGTGGCCTGTTTCTAAAGTGAAATTGTGAGATGATTTTGTGGTTTGTTTCTAAAGTGAAATTGTGAGATGATGTTGATGTTGTGGCCTGTTTCTAAAGTGAAATTGTGAGATGATGTTGTGACTTGTTTCTAAAGTGAATTTGTGAGATGATATTGTGGTTTGTTTCTAAAGTGAAGTTTTGAGATGATTATGTGGCTTGTTTCTGAAGTGAAATTGTGAGATGATGTTGTGGCTCGTTTCCAAGGTGAAATTGTGAGATAACATTATGGCTTGTTTCTAAGGTGAAATTGTGAGATAACATTATGGCTTGTTTCTAAGGTGAAATTGTGAGGTGATGTTGTGGCCTATTTCTAAAGTGAAATTGTGAGATGCTGTTGTAGCCTGTTTCCAAAGTGAAATTGTGAGGTGATGTGACCTTTTTCTAAAGTGAATTGTGAGTTAATATTGAGGCTTATTTCTAAAGTGAAATTGTGAGATGATGTTGTGGCCTGTTTCTGAAGTGAAATTGTGAGATGCTGTTGTGGCCTATTTCTAAAGTGAAATTGTGAGATGCTGTTGTGGTCTGTTTCTAAAGTGAAATTGTGAGATGCTGTTTTGTTCTTTTTCTAAAGTGAAATTGTGAGCTTATGTTGTGGCCTATTTCTAAAGTGAAATTGTGAGGTTATGTTGTAGCTTTTTTCTAAAGTGAATTGTGAGCTAATATTGAGGCCTCTTTCTGAAAAGAAATTGTGAGATGATGTTGTAGCTTTTTCTAAAGTGAAATTGTGAGATGATGTTGTGGCCTGTTTCTAAAGTAAATTGTGAGATGATGTGGCCTGTTTATGAAGTGAAATTGTGAGGTTTTGTTGTAGCTTTTTTCTAAAGTGAAATTGTGAGATGATGTTGTGGCCTGTTTCTAAAGTGAAATTGTGAGATGATGTTGTGGCCTGTTTCTAAAGTGAAATTGTGAGATGATGTGGCCTGTTTATGAAGTGAAATTGTGAGGTTATGTTGTAGCTTTTTTCTAAAGTGAAATTGTGAGATGTTGTGGCCTGTTTCTAAAGTGAAATTGTGAGATGATGTGGCCTGTTTATGAAGTGAAATTGTGAGGTTATGTTGTAGCTTTTTTCTAAAGTGAAATTGTGAGATGATTTTGTGGCCTGTTTCTAAAGTGAAATTGTGAGATGATGTGGCCTGTTTATGAAGTGAAATTAAGTTGTAGCTTTTTTCTAATGTGAAATTGTGAGATGATTTTGTGGCTTGTTTCTAAAGTGAAATTGTGAGATGATTTTGTGGCCTGTTTCTAAAGTGAAATTGTGAGGTTATGTTGTAGCTTTTTTCTAAAGTGAAATTGTGAGATGATATTGTGGCCTGTTTCTAAAGTGAAATTGTGAGATGATGTGGCCTGTTTATGAAGTGAAATTGTGAGGTTATGTTGTAGCTTTTTTCTAAAGTGAAATTGTGAGATGATGTTGTGGCCTGTTTCTAAAGTGAAATTGTGAGATGATGTGGCCTGTTTATGAAGTGAAATTAAGTTGTAGCTTTTTTCTAAAGTGAAATTGTGAGATGATTTTGTGGCCTGTTTCTAAAGTGAAATTGTGAGATGATGTTGTGGCCTGTTTCTAAAGTGAAATTGTGAGATGATGTGGCCTGTTTATGAAGTGAAATTGTGAGATGATTTTGTGGCCTGTTTCTAAAGTGAAATTGTGAGATGATTTTGTGGCCTGTTTCTAAAGTGAAATTGTGAGGTTATGTTGTGGCCTTTTACTAAAATGAAATTTTGAGATGCTGTTATGGTCTGTTTTTAAAGTGAAATTTTGAGATGATGTTGTGGTGTTAGGGTCAGCACTACGCACCTCAAGTTAATAGGTCTTAGGTGAAGACCTTGTTCTGTGGTGAGTTTTTTCAGCAAGATGATTTCCTCTCACACTGCCCCTCTTCAGCCAGGACTATGTATGGCTTAATGGTCTGTGGAGCCTAATGGGGGAACTTGTGACTGACTTGCATCCCATTCTGGTTTGGGTTGGGGAATTGCAATACTCCCTTTCCACTTGTGCCACAGAAGCTGAGATGAGCTTGGGCTGAATGAGCCACCTGGCTTGAGTGGAGGCCTGGTGTTTGAGGGAAAATTTTTGTTAAGTAACACCTCACTATTCCTCACTGTTTTTTATTTCTAATTATTTTTTGCAGGCTAAACTTGCCTTTGAAAGACTCAACATTGAACATTTTTACCATCCTTTCATATCCGGAGCCAATGCCTCGAAGATCACGGAACAGACTTCAGCACGTATCAACATCCCACCTCCATCCGTTCAGAAGGACGAGATCACTATTGCAGGGGAGAAGGAAGGTGTGGCTAAGGCAAAGGAAATCATTATGGCTATATATGAGGAGAAAAAACGGAAGACGACCACTGTGTCCATTGAAGTAAAGAAGTCTCAGCATAAGTATGTGATTGGTCCTCGTGGAGGTACCCTGCAGGAAATACTGGCTCTTACTGGTGAGTATAGGAATGAAGTTCAGAAATATATATAAACAGGAAGCCATCAGAAAAAGAAAAACTGACTGCTGAATAGTAAATTTCCTGTAGTGAAAGTAGCAGATGTAAAGTCTCAAAAGGAGTATAGATCATTTTTCTTTCCATTTTCAACAGATAATGTTAGAATGAAATGCTGTGCAGTTTAACCTGTGGATAGACTCCTGTTTTAAGCTAGGCCCAGCCCAAAGTTTCATGCACAAGCTGCATCAACCCTTAAACTCCCAAAATGTGATTGTTAATTCTCCCCTTTAGCTGCTACACATGCCCCAGTAAATTAGTGATGTGAATTTTGTTAGATCTTAGGATAACAACTTCTACCTGATAAGTTTGAGTATTATTATTTGTTTGCTGGATAATGTATGAATACTATGGGGAGAAGTTATATGTTGATCACCTCTGATAATTAGAGGGTAATGATGCTCTGGCATCATGAATTAGCAGCTTCAACTCGGTGTTACTATGCTCACTTACCCAGTTCTTCTAATGAAGCCTTTTGGCAAGCTAAAGACAGTTAAAATGTAAACATCCTTTTATATTCCAGGTAATCATGCTTAAAAGGTTAAGGCAATTAATTTTATCATATAATTATCAAGAAAAAGAGAGGTGAATTTCTGGTGTGGAAATTTATTTTCTCAGGTGTGTCTGTGGAGATGCCACCTTTAGACAGTGATTCAGAGACCATCACCTTGCGTGGTGAGCCAGATAAACTTGGGACAGCCTTGACCCAGGTGTATGAGAAAGCAAGTAGTGTTGTAAGTGCCGAGGTTGATGCACCCCGCTGGCTTCACAGATTTATCATTGGCAGGAAAGGACAGAATATACGCAAGATTACCCAGGATTTACAAAAGGTTGGCAGCGTTAGTTAATCTACCTTTTCATTCCCTCAATGTGATTTGACATTCCTCCCTCTTGTTGTTATACTCTTCTTTGTAAATCAGTTGGGAGAATTTAGTATCAAGAACAAGAAATCCAGCTGATAATTTTTCTATTCTCGTCACTTGTTTTCTGGTGGAGGTTTGAAAATTGTGCTGAGAAGAAACCCCTTAATTCACTTGTTAGATTTGGAAGTCAACACAAAGCACAAGCACACACACTGCAAACAGTTGTATGTTCTCAGATACAGCAGTTGCAGTAACTTTTTCAATAAGCCGCTGTCGATGGTGCAATATGCAGCTGTGCCCGGGAAGGAGTTGTTATAGTGCAACCTAAACAAGAGAGCCTCCTTGTCAGTACTAAAGGGAATGTATAGAGAGGAGTATGGAGACTGTGGATGCTGATTTTAGGGTGCAAAGGATTATTGAAACCTCTGCACATGACAATTCTATGTCCAGTGTGTAATTTTGTTGTATTTTATGTGCATGACGTAATAGGACAGTGATTTTTGACAGGTTCATGTTGAATTCAGTGATGAGAAGGACAGCGTCTCTCTAGAAGGACCCCCTCAGGAAGTAGAGAAGGCACAAGAATCCCTTGAGACATTTATTAGAGAACTGGTGAGTTCAGGTTTAACCAAAGGTAGATCAAATATGTGATAATGTTTGTCTTACAACAGAAGTCCTTACATTTTGAAAACCATCAGAAGTGTGTTTTGTTTTCGAAAGGGTTCTCTGTCTGGTAAGTTTTCTGTGTAGATGGGGACAAAAGAGTCTTGATGAGATTGAGACAGCTCAGAATGGCCAAACATGTAAAATGAAAAAGTAAAATATTGAAAAAGTGAGATATTTAAGTCCTCTATTATGGGAAGCTAGGCAAATGTGACTAGATGGAAAGAAATGGGTAAATTATGAGAACTTATTATTGTCAGTAGAATCTGTGTTTGATTTCTCACCAACCACTGTTTTTGTTGTCCAAATGACAGAGAGCATCCATGGACTTTGCAGAAATCATAGTTGACCATAAGTATCACCCACACATCATTGGCAAAAATGGAAGCAATGGTATGACCGTAAACTTCATTAAATTGCAGTTTGTTTGTGATACCTTTCAAGTGTTTGTGAAAAGAAAACAAACCAAGCAATGGAGCATACATGTGTTTCTGCTTGTATTTTTCAGTGAACCGCATTAAAACTGAAACAGGAACATCCATTTTGATTCCATCCAACAACGAAAAGAGCAATGTACTGAGGATTGAAGGTTCACCCAAGGGAGTAGCTTTGGCCAAAGCTGAAATATTGCAAATGGTTAAGAAACTGGTAAGTTTATTTGTGCAAAATGTTTTTACAGTTTTCAATTTTTTTGTTTGTTTGTTTGCCATTTTGGCAGTATGGCATTTTTGGTGTGGCTTATCTCCCATTATTTAACCCCATCACCTCCAAGATCTTGTTATTAATTCTCCTTACTGTCTGTCATACAATTCTTCTGATGGTAGTTTGGAGAATTTGATAATTGCATATAATCGACTAATTAATCCCCTTTTTGATGTTTTTCTGAATTCTCATCACTTGTTCGCTTGATATTATGTTGATATTGAAAGGAGAAAGTCTGTGTTGATCACTTGTGGGAGTTGAAAAGTTAGTTACTCAAATTATGGGAAAGTCACATTGAAAGATTCTGTTTCCTTTCCAATGTCCTTTAGAATTTTTACTCATTGTAATGTTTATTAAAGGGTCCCCATCATAAATGTAGCTCAAAGTAAGATCAGTTTTCAAGTGTCGTCCATGTGTGAAAATTCTTTTGATGTGCTGCTCCTTGCAGGAAAATGAAAAGACCAAAGATATTCTTATTGAACAACGATTCCACCGAACCATCATTGGCACTAAGGGAGGAAAGATCCGTGAGATTCGGGAGAAATATCCAGAAGTTCAAATCTCCTTCCCTGATGCTGGCAAAATGAGTGATATTGTGAATTTACGAGGACCCAGAGAAGATGTAGATGGTGTTTACACTTTGCTCAAGAAACTGAGCTCTGAACTGGTAATACGTGTTGGTTCAGTTGAACAATTTTGTTCTTTTAGGGCAGCTAAAGTATGTTACAAGCTGAACTCTCTTTTGTTTTGTTGCCATTCTGTTGGGAAAAGCTTGCTCAAAGTCAAATAGTTCGTTATGTACAAAAAGGTAATTGTTACAGTCACATGTATGAAAGACCAAATGCTTGACCATCAGAGGGTGTTTTGGCTGAAAAATCATCCTAATTTTTTAACATTGTGTCACCATATTTGTACATTCAGCATTCTGATATTGACTTATTTATAGGTTTTTTTTTATATAATCATCTTTATTCTGTTGACAAATTAAATAGTTTTAAACATCTCTTGGCATGTTGTAATTGGTAAATGGGTTGCTTGACAAGACAAACTAACAAGATAGATATTATAGGTCAGCTGGCAGATGCACTGAATCTTTCTCTTGTTTTATTTTGTTTAGATTGCTGCTAACTACCGTGTCGAAGTTCCCATTTTTAAACAGTTCCATAAGAATGTGATTGGCAGAGGTGGAGCAACCATCAAGAAGGTATTTTGTGTTGTTAACCAGAAATAGAAAAGCCTCAGTTGATTGCGGTAAAAGGTTGTCATTAACTTGTACTTTTGGTCTAAGCAGCTTTTGGGGAGAAAACAATTTTAAACTTTTTTGAACAAAACAGCTTTTAAGCTTTGGTGTGGTTGGGTACAAGTCTTGATTGGCTTCACTTAATTACTGAGACGTGTTGAGCAAGTTTTCCAGTTACTGAATGGAGTAAAGCAAGACCAATGCAATTCTAGATCACAGGGTAATTTAGTTTCCCCTTACTGTATCATCCTTCAACCAATAATAAAGGTTATGAGAATGAGAGAAGTTATTGAGACCAAGAGAAGCTCCTGATTGTCTGACTAATTCTCTCTATCAGTACCATAGGAAACATGAAGCAAACAATTTGGAGAATATGAATGCTGAAGTTTAGATTTGTAGATTCTTCTCATCTATGTGCTGTCTAAATATCTGTCACTGCTTACTCTGCAGATCCGAGAAGAAACTGACACAAAGATTGAGCTGCCAGCTGAAGGAAGTGACAGTGACGTCATTGTCATTACAGGACACAAAGCACAGGTGGAAGCTGCACGTGACCGCATAACAACAATACAGAATGAGCTGGTAAGGATTTACCTGTTGTATTCGAGGAGTGTAGATTCAAGGCTTAACACTCAGTTCCCAAGTAGTGACTAAAATTTGAAATCTCCTAACCACATGTTGACATTATCCATATAGCAGTGATGAGAATAAGAAACTAGACTTTCTCATTGAGACAGTGTTGTCTCACGATATTATCTCAGGAAATGAAATCAAGAATATAGGGGCAGGAGCATACTGTGATATAACGAAAGGATGTTCTTAGTAACGGGATGAACGGTAGTTAGGGCCATTGAAATTTAGCCAGAGAATTCTCTGATTTCCATTAACTGTTGAACATCCTGTCATCTTACTCAATTCTTAGAACTATCTCTCATAGAAGTAAAAAGCATCTAACAGAGAGAAATTTGGAAGAGATCTTTGGTGTTAAGGATTTAACGAAAGCGCACGTACGTTTTTCAGGCAAATGAAAGACTAGTGATCAGAAAATTCTCCGTTTTCCATAGACTAATAAACAGCTTGTTGTGTTAATTTTTAGACCAGATTCTCGTAACTAATTTGCGTAGAAGTACAGAGGTAAATGTATATAGCAACAAACGCAGAGAATTTTGAAAGAGGTGCTTGTCGTTAGAGGGTTAACAAATGTACACGTATGTTTTTCAGGCAAATGTCACCCAAATTGAAGTGATTATCCCACACAAACATCACAATGCTGTGATTGGTGCAAAAGGCCGGTTGATCCGTTCAATCATGGATGATTGTGGGGGAGTAAGTATTAAATTCCCACCTGAGGGAACCAACAGTGACAAAGTTCTTATTCGTGGACCAAAGGATGATGTGGAAAAAGCCAAGAAACAGCTTCTGGAGCTTTTGAATGAAAAGGTTAGAAATGAAGTTTTCAAAAATGGATGTTTTGCATAAAAATCGCAAGATTTAAAATTCTCCATCTTCATTTACATCCTCATCGCGCAGAAGCATCACATCGACATTTCTCTGTTAGCAGTATGCAGGACGTTTGTCCCCATGGACCCAGTTAAACGCCTTAGCCTGCCACTAGTCTCCAATAGCTCAATGGTTGACCATTCGCAGTAGTAATCGGAAGGTCGTAGGTGCAAATCCCATCGGGAGCACTTGGAATTCTTTTTCTCCAAGTATATCGGGGTCATTCACTGATTTTCGTCACAGTACACGTAAAAAAGACTGAGATCGGTTTTGCCAGTTGTTGATCAGTCAATCCTACAATGCACGGACAGTTTTCAAATCAGTAATTCATTTTGTTAAGGAAAAGTTTGAGCTCCTACAGAATTGAATTTAAAGGTTTTTTTCAATATTATTTTGCAAGGCTGAGATGAAAATTGTCAGGTGAATTTATAAATTTTAAGACTACTCAGACTCGCAATATGCGACAGTCAAGTAACTAGTAGCAAGTACAAATCAAAACTAATTAAGGTTTTCATGAAATTAAATCTCACTTTTTCTTCCGTGTCACAGGAGACCAATAGTTACACCTTAGAGATTCGTGCAAAGCCACAGCATCACCGCTTTTTAATTGGACGGGGTGGATCCAACATCAGAAAGGTGCGCGAGAATACAGGAGCAAGGATCGTTTTCCCGACACCAAGTGATGAAGACAAGGAACTGATCACCATCATTGGAAAGAAGGAAGGAGTGGAGGCAGCCAAGCAAGAACTGATGAAAGCTATCAAGGATCTGGTACAGATATGTTTTAAACTTTCTGACCCCTCAGAGTGACTAGCATGTAATTTCTCCTTTCACCCATGAATCGAGAATTGAGGTCACGAGAATAAAAGAAATTATTACGAACTAAACAAGCTCGTGATTGTTCAACAAATTTTCCTTGTCAACGCCTAAGGAAATTGAGGAAATTCCTTTGCAAGCTGATTGTGGATAGATTAGCATGTAAACGTCTCTCATTTTCTTTTCCTTCACCCTAATATGCAACTGCTTCTAAGATCGCACATAACGTATTTATATAGATAGCTTTAGTGAAAACGTGGTTATTTCCCCCCTTTTACAGGACAACATCGTCGAAGGCGAGGTACACGTAGACCCCAAACACCATAAGTATTTTGTTGCCAAGCGAGGTGAAAAACTGCGCGAGATCGCCGACGACTTCGGCGGAGTTGTGGTCAGTTTCCCCAGGAACGGCGTGAACTCTGATCGTGTTGTCCTGAAAGGCGCCAAGGATTGCATCGACGGAGCAAAGAAAAGGATCCTAGAGATTGTAGATGAGCTGGATTCCATGGTGTCCATCGAGTGCGTCATCCCTCAGAAGTACCACCGTAACATCATGGGAGCCAAAGGGGTCAATGTCCAGAAGGTTACTTCACAGAACAATGTTCAGATCAAGTTTCCCGACCGAGACCCGGCAGCTAAGGGACAAGGCATGGTTAATGGCAGCTCCTCCCCCGTGGAGGTGAACGGCGATGAAGCTGGCTCCCCCCCGGCTAGTCCCCGAAAGTGTGACATCATCACTATTACTGGATCTAAGGATAATGCTGAAGCTGCTAAAGAAGCATTACTGGTATGTAGACATGTTTCCTCAGCGGAAGGGGTGGCAATTTGCGCTAAATCGACGAGATTTTGTGTACCCGAGCCATCCAATGTCCAATGCCGTGTCTGCCTCTTTGCGCTGAAGTTTTTTACGCCTTACACCCTATTAATTGTTTGCTTCCAGGAACTTGTCCCAATCACAGAGATGATGACCATTCCATTTGATTACCACCGCTTTATAATCGGCGCCAAAGGAGCCAATGTCCGTCAAATGATGGACGAGTTTGACGTCAATATTACCATACCCCCCTCTAAGGACGAGTCTGACCAGGTAGTCATTGTTGGTACTCGTCCCAAGGTCAACAAGGCTATCGAGGCGCTTGAACAGAAGGTGGCTGTGATTGAGGCAGAGAATGAAGATCGGGTAAGATTCTGATCTGTATAAAAGGACCTTGTCTTAAATGATCGTTATATGTGATTTTTGCCGTGCGCTTTCGTGGTATGCTCCCGGCAGGGTGCGGTTAGAGAGCTTTTCGATTGATTGTCGTAAAATCGAAACCAAAGCAATCAATAGTAAATCAATATCAATCATAGTAAGGAAAATCCGAGGAGCTAGTGAGAACTTGGAGAATAAACAAGCCAACTACCTGAAGAGCGGGAAAACGTGGCCGACCTAGTCGCGGTCGGTTGGTCTTGAATCTGATTGGCTGGAAAAGTGGCGCAAGTTTTCTGGACTAATCACACAACGACCTAAAGTAAAAACCAAGCAATTCTGGTTTACTTTTCGACTTTAGTTTTCTTCAACGGTAAAAGGATGAAATGAAAAGGGGTAGAAGAAGCAATTGATAAGTAGAAACAATCAAGGGTGGGAACAAATGGCCAGGACAAACACCAGTTAGAAGCCACAATAATGTGTAATTCGGGCCAGATTTTAGACGCGCCAACCTTGGAATAACGTTCCCATCTAGAGTAATGGTCATTTCCATTCTTTTCGCAGCAACTACGAAGTTTCAAAATGGAAATAACCGTCGCTAGTTCTTATCACCCTAAGATCATTGGCCGCAAAGGACAAGTTATTCAGAAGATCCGCACCGAACACGGAGTACAGATACAATTTCCACCCGTGGAATCTTCGGAGGCTGACGCGGACAAGATTGTCTTGACTGGTTACGAGCATAACTGTGAAGCAGCCAAGGAAGCCATTTTGAAGATAGTTCATGAGTTGGTAGGTGTTAATTTTATTAAGCTTTCGTAGCACTTTTTTTTAGCACTTTGCCTGTTTTAGCTTATGTAAACCTTTTTATTAGCCTTTGATAAGAATGCGGTGAAATTAAAATGTGATCGTGCAATATTGCCCGTCTTTGCTGTAACACTGTCTCCATAGATTGTATTTTATTGAACGGGGGAAAAAGGGAGGGGGTGGAGGGGGGGTTGGGCAGGAGTAACACTTGAGTCGCGTTATGCGACACAAACTAATTTTGTGAGCACGCGCTCCTTATTAGCGCCTGGGCATGAGTGTTTCTTCGCCCGCGGGAACGTATGAAGCCTTGAGCAACGTGAACTGATGAGAGGTCTGAGAGGGGTCTGGCACTGATACTGATACTGATACTGATACTCATTAGTGCCAGACCCCCTTGCAAATCTCTCCTTGACTCGTCTAAAATCTTCTCGGGGACGAAGAAACGAGCGTCTTGCCACGCTGGTCATGAGCGCCTGCTCTAAGACTGACACCAAACGGAAATAAGCGGTGTCGTAATTATCGCACGACTGCGCCACTACAGTGATAACAGCTTGTTTGTTTTATGGATTAACTTCATGGAGCGTGCAGTAGGTCGGCTCATTTGCGATCTTATCGTGCCGATACCAGCGTGTTAATTGTTGTTGTTTTGGCAGGAGGAGCAAGTGAGTGTAGAGGTACCCATTGACCCCCGAGTTCACCGCCGTCTGATTGGCACCAAAGGAAGAGCCATCCGGAAATTCATGGACACCTACAGGGTGGACATACGGTTCCCGTCACTCAACACCTCTGATCCTGTCGTCATTTCCGGTCTCGCAGATAACGTAGAGGAAGCAAAAGATCAGCTTCTGTTGTTGGAAGAGGAATACGTGAGTGCACAAGATATTATATATGCAAAAGAGGTTTGGTGGACCAACTTGACGCGAGCGTAAAGTGATATCTTTGAACCCTTCTAGATCCTCAAGGTCGCGCTCTCTTAAACTTTCCCCTTTCCCCTCACCTTCCCGTGCTCTCCTTACCGGTCACCTAGACCAACACAACGCTGATTATTAGGTTGTGAATACTGTTCTTATACTATCCCAAAGTGCCGTCAGTTCTGTGATCCCCTCTACCAATATTCATATTGTGATCTCCGTGGCATTAACTTAAATATTTTGTCGCGCATCACGGCACTAATTCCTTTTATTTCCTTCCTTAAGATGCAAGACGTACGGGACGAGATTGAACAACATGATGTTGTCAACCATTACCTAAACCCGCCAAGTAAACAAGGCAACCAGGCAGGGTTCGTTGTTAGGGATGCTCCTTGGGATAACGTGCGGAAGGCAGATGGAGGCAGGAAGCAGCAGCCCCCACCTCAACAGCAGTCTACTATAGAAAGGCCCCTTCCACCTGATACCACCAACATTGCCGACTTCCCCTGTATCGGCAGCTCCGCGGCCGCTCCCCGTCCCACAGCCTGGGGTCCGACCCGCCGTTGAGAAGAGTATACCACGACACTTTTAGTGAGCACGGTCGCTGACAGCTTAACGAAGATTTTAGTAGATTTTTATTGGCTTTGTTAGCTTGTTTACCGTAGTGGTGAAATTATTATAATTTTTTTCTGATTATTTTCCCTGTTTCTTGTGTTTGTGTGACTGGCACTTGGTAACTAAGAGACATTGTATGATCAAAATCACATAGCGTTGTTATTCCGGTTGATTTTTGTTAGTTTCCCTCGATGAGACCTTGAATTTGTCGTATGCTGGTGGAGGAGTTGCGTGCTTTTGATTTGGTATAGTTAAGGGGTTGTTAAAGGGGTTTAGTTACTCTCTGTCTTGGACGAAAATTCACATCATCGTCGACTAGCTTGCTCAGCAAAATTAAATTATTTTTTCATCTGATTTTACCGACTCCTCTTTTGAAAATCAAATAAACAGACATACTTCCATAGAAGGAGAAGAAAAAAAATAAAATCTAACATAATATTTGATATTCTTTATATTCTCACCCCTTCAAAATAGAAATATTTAGATAAAAATGAAACTCAAATGTCTGCTTGGTTGCTTATTGGTACGTCTAACCAAGTGACTTCTGTAACCTTGCAAAAAGGCTGAGTAACTATTTTACTTGGCCGGAACCAGTTGTAAGGTCAAATAAATTGCTTAACCAGAAAAGGAATAACCTTGTCTTATCTTTTTTGTCGTCACTTGACGTTTAGTCTGAGCTGTAAAGTCCCCTCATCGTTCCAATGCCCCGACGGGGTCCTAAGTTTTTTTTAGCATCAACGGATGAACAATTGCACCTTCGGTCAATCAAACTTAACAAATATACTTTCAAGAACGCTATTTGCATATATATTAACATTCAATAGCATCAACGGATGAACAATTGCACCTTTGGACAAACAAACACGACAAATATACTTTCAATCTCGCGCAATGGTCGATCATTAACACCAATAAAAAATCAATTGCATAGTATGACAATCCACTGCGTATTGGAGACACAATACAATTTGCACAGAGACGCACAATCAATAGTACCTTCGTACAACCGTTTATTCAAAATGGTCAATCATTGACGTGAACTGACAAATATTGGTGTTTTTCGAACAATAGAAAGAAAAAATATTCATCAGTGTTATTCATGTTAGTTACATGTATTTTAAAATACTGACCAAAAATACAAGAGTTTGCACAATATTTTGCTGAAGCAGAAATAAAATCAACATTTGACATGTACAGTACACTGTAAGAAACAGAGTACGCTGTATGAACAAGTAGACGCATTAGAGACAGATACAACCGAAGAAAATCATGCCACCAAGAAACAGAGTCCTACTTGAACAGCGACAAAGAATTATTCAAGCCTTCGAAGATGTTAATGAAGATTATTTGACGGTTGCCGCTACTATCGAAGTAAACCGAACAACGGCAAGAAGTATCGTAGCACGATGCTTGCGAGAGTGAAGGATCGCGGAGAGACCACGAGGAGGAGCAAATCATGTTCGAGTAGATGATGAAATGAGGAATTGCCTGAATGACATTTTAAACGAAAATTGCCTGCTAACACTAGCACAGATAAATCAAGAATTGAGACAGCGTCTTCCAAGAAAACCAACAATCCATGACCGTACAGTAGCAAAAGAAAGACTGTCACAGGCAAGGCTAAATCTTGACCCAAATGATCATGTGATTTTCATTTATGACGGCACACCAGCCCACAACATCCTGCCATTCCTGGTCCTAATTCTGATCTTAAAAAGCTACCGCCTTACAGCCCATTTCTTAACATCGTAGAGCAAGCAATAAGTGCCTTAAAAGCAGCCCTTAAAGTGGACATAAGACGTCCATAGCAGCAAGAATAGATGAACAACAGAGCAGAGGCAAGACGACAAGGAATCGCGTTAGGCAATTACTGCACTCAATTGCTAGATTAAGCCCTGCAGAGAAGACACGTGATAGACACGTGATAGACACTATCACGGCTACTGAATGTGGATGGTGGTACAGATTTATGCAAACGTACATTCCAAGATTTCAAGAATAGCGCGGGATTTGCTGACTTTTGTCGCCAATTTCTGGCTCGGAACGGAGGCATTGGACCGCTTTTGCACTTCCGAGGCAAGATACACGGGGAAAGACCCGCGGGATTTGTAGCATCGCCGCCATCTTGAAAATGAAAGATCCGGACCGCGGGGACTGAGTATTACCGTTGAACGGCTTCCAAAATGGCGACGGAGAAAAAGGTAAGCGTGTCCTACGTTTCTCTCGTATCTGTCCCCTTTTGTTGGTCATCCTAACACAGCGAAAATATTTTTCGCAAGAAATCGTTGAAACTGTCCTTCTATGACTTACAAGGTATAAAGCTGAACCTCACTGTGTGCAGAAAACAGGTGGACTAGCTATTTTTTCTTACTGTATATATTATTGTTTAACTTTGATTGCGTTACAATTTGGGAGTCCTTTCAAATTATGCTCCCGGGGGAGGGACAGTGGTAGCTTTTTGTGGAAGAATACTTGCCCTGGGTAGGTGGAAGTTCGTAGTTACGAGTAAATACAAGTTCGCACGTAGTTCCCCGTGGTCAACCCCCTCGGGATGGCCGCTGATAAGTGCATTTCTACACACGTTTGTCAGTTCACGTTAATGATTAACCATTTTCAATAAACGATTGTATGAAGGTGCAATTAATTGTATTATTGTATGTCTCTAATACGCAATTGATTGTCATACTGTGCAATTGATTTTCCATTGGTGTTAATGATCAACCATTGCGCGAGATTGAAAGTATATTTGTCGTGTTTGTTTGTCCAAAGGTGCAATTGTTCATCCGTTGATGCTATTGAATGTTAATATATATGCAAATAGCGTTCTTGAAAATTCGTCCGCGTTAATGAAGTTCATGGATGTGCTAATGAATGTATATTTGCCGTATAGTTTCAACTGTTGACGTAAATGAATGTACATTTTGCGTAAATGAACAGCAAAAGGTGTAAATGTGGCACACCAATAATCCCCTCATGGTACTTCCTCGCGTGTATTCTCTAACCACCCGCCCTCGATATTCAGGTGTCACCTGATGCGTGGTCTCCATGTGTAACGATAGGAGGTTCTTTACTCAAATAAAAGCATTTACTCGAGTTTATTTGATATAAACTAAATTGCAAAAAATGGCAGCTTTTTTGAACTATCATTTTAGCAGCCAAATCAAACGTGAACAAGTAGTGGCTTCGGCTAGCGCCTTCATTAGAATTTCATTCTTCGTCTCCCGCGTCTTTGGAATGTTACGAGGCAATTTCTCACTTGAAAGTACTTGCATTAATGGACTAAGGCCAATTACTTGCGAAACGCGTTCATGAAGCTGTCACGCAACGCAGCTCGTAGGGAGAGTTACGTGACCGGATATATTTAGACAGCTTGCTTTCTTAAATCAAGCGTGGCTGTCAACATGTTGAAAGGGAGCAAAATATTTTGACATTCCAGCCGGGTCAGATGAAGATTATTCGCCGAAAAACATACTTTATTAGGGTCGAATACGGATTCCTGATCGCAGATCGCGTAAAATCATGAGGGGGTTTGATGCTTTCTCTTTATTTCATCTTTTCAAGATGTACTACTTTTCGTTTGAAAATGATTTCTCGAGTACCAACAATAGATTTAAACAGGCCAACAAAAAGACTAAGCGATTTTAAAAGTGGTATCACACAGAAAACCAAGGGAATATCAAATATTTTTATATTTTACCTCTCAGATTCAGAGATACTGTGGTCATTTTCAAAAAAAGAATCATTTTGTAACTACTGTGGGTCAACTTCCGCGAAAATCATACCTCAAATTTACGTGCAGGATCGTGGATTGTTTGCATATCTGCGACACTCTCTTGGCTGGCTGCACTGGGATATATGTTTAGCTTTGGAATTTTCTTTCCTGTGGTTATTAATTATTTTCAGGATAGAAGAGAGAAAACGGCTAAGGAAACTGAGTTATAAATGTAAATATTTTATTTGACTTACAGATTTCAGGGTATCAAAACAGTGTGGTCGATCGATCAAGAAAACTGACTCTTTCTCTTTAGAATCTATAATCTCCAATTGTGAGCAAAATTTTGTTCGGAGCCTAATCAGAGAGCGAAATTGAAGGAATTAAAAACTCCTAATAAGAAAGGTATTTGGGGTGTACGATGACAGACTGCACATTTTTTATCTCGGTGAAAGACGACCGTAGTGACCCAAATGCGGTTTAGACGCGATCCCACCGCGATCCGAGCGCGACCCTATCATAAATTGAGGAAATCATGTTACTGTACAGGGTTCACATGAAGAAAAAGAGTTTCTCCCATCAATGATGAGAACTGATATACCGTGGGGTGGAGTAATAGGAAATAATATGCTTTATGTGCTTTCCCGTCTTTTTCTTTTCTTTTCCTTTTTTTTCGTCAGCTTGGTAGGTTCTCTGGCCATTGCTATCATCTTTTTCAGTGGACATGCGTCTGGAGTTCTTGTCAGGCGATTTGGCTGCCGTGTCACCACCCTATTTGGAGGGTTCTTGTGCACACTGAACCTTGGCCTTTCCTCTCTGGCAAGAAACATTAACGTACTGTTTCTCACCTATAGTGTGCTCTATGGCTAGGGCACAACTTGTGTGTTCTCTGCAAGCCTCAATATCATCAACAGGTACTTCAACAAGTGGCGCTCAATGGCCACTGGGATTGTAATGTGTGGTCAAGGATGGGGGGTCCTTATTCTAAGTCCCCTTTTGCAGACCATGATAGCCACCCTTGGCTGGCAGAACATCTACAAAATAATGGCCAGCGTGGTTCCAGTATTGCGCCTGTCTGGTTTTACTTATAGCCCCAATGTACAGATACCTGATATTGACAAAAATGATGTGGCTGAAAAGGACGCTGAAATAACCAGTGGCGGGGAGAACCCAAAAGAAGGACAGGGGAGGATGGAGTTAGGGGAGACTCAGGAGCAGCAGAACAAGTCAGGATGCTTGTGTACATAGCAGTGTGGAAAGAACCGAAATTTGTAGCGACTGTCATGATGTTCACTCATTATGTACCACAGATTCATTTGATAATTTTAATTTTATGGGAGGGGTGAGAGATGTTGATGCAAAAAAGTTTTCACGATGGAGGAGAATGACGGGTGTATTTTGTCAGATTAGCTTAATAATCCCAGACAAGTTTACATCTCCTGTATCAATAACAGTCGTGTCTGTTTAATATTACCTTGATTTTCAATCCTGCTCTTTGTTTTTAGGTGAAATATTGCGAGGAATTTGGAATCCAAACTGGTGCAGCCTCCAGACTCTTTGTGTATTATGGAATCGCTTCATACGCGGGGAGACTGGTGTCAGGTCGACTGTGTGCCTTCGAAAAGGTAAACACATTCTATGT